TTTTTAATTTAATTTTTTATTTTTTTTTATTTTTATTTCTTTAATAATTTTTGATCTATTTTTTTCCACTTAACTTCACTTAACTTTATTGCTATCACACAGAGCTAACAAGCCCCTGTGTAATAGCAATTGAAGGTGACAGGTTCTCTTTATTGACCCTGTCACCTCCAATTCAGGAGTTACAGCACAGCACTTTCCGGGAAAAAGTTTTTTTACTCTGTAGATGAGTGACAGAATTGCTTATATTCAAATTTGCATATCTTTATCTTCATATCTGCATCTCTTCATCTTCCTTATCCTTATCTTCATATTCCTTATCTTCATAACAGACTCAGAAAGCATTGAACCCAAAGTACCAGCATGTCATCCAGGAAACTAACAGTTTCATGGAGTGAAAGCCTCCATGCATCTCTCATTAGGCCCCATTCACACTGAGCGATTTATCGCGCGATTTTTGCAGCGATATCGCTCATGTTTTCACACAATATCGCTCTATGTAGCTTCTCCAATCCATTTCAATTGAGCTGTTCACATCTCGTCGCATAATATCGCTCAATATCGCTTGTAGCTCGTCGCTGTAGCTTGTCGCTCCTACATGACCCTTTTTTCGAGTGATTTCGAGCGATTTTGCTCCTGATTGCATACAGCCCAATAGGAAAAAGTTGCGACAAGTCGCTCAATATCGCTCATATAAAATCGCGCAGAAAATCGCGCAATTTTCATGTCGCTCAGTGTGAATGGGGCCTTAAAGTGTTTAAAGGCAAATTCCACCTTTAAAAAAAAATAATAATATTAAATGCACGCATCTTCTTAAAATAAAAATGTGCAATTATCATTATCATTATTATTATTGCAAAAGAGCCAGTAAAACATTGCAACCACAATCAGTGCATCAGTAGATTGCGGGTGTAATACTCTGGCTCCAGCAGACTCCTCCCCCTGTACATGTCCGTACCGAGTTGTGGACAGTCAGTAACACGGAGGAGAGGAAGTGTCAATGGACTACAAGTGTGGAGAAGTCCCTCTGCTGGGGTGGCTAATGGTAGTTCAGCCTTCAACTTCTGAAGGGGGGCTACTTTTGTTCCTCATGGTCCCTGTGTGTGTTGTAAAGTAGCCACCGCTCCAAGCTCACTACTGTGATGGACTACTACTACTACTGTGATCTTAATACAAACTAATAAACTAAACGTGAAATTGTGGTCCATCACGGGAGCGAGCTTGGAGTGGTGACTACTTTAACACACACAGGGACCAGAAGGAAGGACACTGTCAGCACCAATTCAGAGATGAATTGAGGATCTACAGCTGAGTGATACACAAATAAGATACATTTTTGTTAATAGTTAAGGTACTTGAATGTATTTTTAAAATGTAAAGTAGTATTAAACTATCAAACTGTTATACACACAGAAATGTGTATTCTAGCAATAACTCCTGCAGTATACAATTTTAGTCACTAGATGGCAGTGTTTATAAGTTCTGTTATACGGTATCTATGGTATATTCTGTTGTATTGAATAAGGTAGAGAATAAAGCTGTGGCTTCCTTCCTGTTTTTTTTAATAAATTCTTTTATTTAACAAGTTTTTCAAAATAACAAACAAAGGTTGTAACAGGGGACACCAAGTCCCATCGTATTCCGGGATGTGATGATCCGTGAATTTCTGGGAAACCCGCCTTACCTGGGACCAGAAGGGCGTCAGTCTTGGGCAGAACCAGAACATGGGGAGCATGTCCAACATACATCAGGGACCCCATCATACATCTGATGAAGTCTGTGGGGAGTTCTATACCAGCGGGTTAAAACCTTGTATCCTGACTCCTGGTATTTATTACAAATTGACGACCTCAGGGAGAGCCGCAGCAATCTAGTCAGCTCATCCTGCGAGAACTGGACCCCCAACTCCCTCTCCCACTGTCCCAGGAAATGAAGCGGCGAATCCTGGTCTGCCTCTTTGATTAGTTTGTAGCATAAGGATAATGTCTTGGTCAAGGGTCCCTCGTCTAGGCAGGTGCGTTCAAAGTCAGATGGGACTCGGGCATATAAGGCTGGATCAGGGAGCAAGGAGAGGAAGTGGGAGATCTGGAGCTGGCGCCAGCAGCCAGGCTCTCCCAGAGGCGTGTCTAGCATGAGGTCTTGTAGGGACTTCCACTGTGTGTCCTGCAGGAAATGTAAGGCCCGAAATCGGCCCAGCGAGAAGGCGAAATAAGCCGGCTTCAAGGCCCGGGACGAACTCCGGGTTCCCCACAACCGGGTACATGGGTGAAGGAGAAGGGGAGAGGTGTTTCTCCCTAAATGCCCTCCGCGCCATCTGCCACGTAGGGCCCACCGTCGGGTGCTTCCGTAGCGGTCCAGGAAGAGCCCCCTCGCACCATGGTAAAGCTGGTAGGGGAATTGGGGTTACAGACTGCTCCAGGGCTACCCAGGGTTTGGTATCACTATGTCAGCACCAGTCCACCACACGAGTCAAGTGGGATGCCATGTAGTAAAGGTAAAGGTCTGGTAGGGCCAGGCCCCCTGCCCTCTTGGGACGTCGCAGGATCGCCATGCTAAGTCTGGGGGTCTTACCCGCCCAAATGAAGTGTGTGATTGCGGCCTGTAGCGTGCGGAAATAGGAGCGGGGAATGAATATGGTGAGGGCCTGAAAGGGATATAGGAAGCGTGGACGACATTTTGCTTAAACACATTACAGCGGCCAGTCCATGAAAATGTGTGTCGCGCCCATCCAGCTAGATCCGATCTGACCTTCTGGAGTAGGGGAGGGAAATTAATACTGTATAACTGCTTCAGGTCCCGCGGGAGCCTCACCCCTAGGTACTTAAGGGAGGTGGAGGACTATTGATAAGGGACGTTTTCCTGGATACTCGCCAACATCCAAGGGGGAACCGTCAGGTTCAGGGCTTCCGATTTTTGAGTATTAATATGGAAGTTGGAAAGTTCACCATATTGGCGGAGTGACGACATTAGGTTTGGCATAGTGGTAACCGGGGACGAAACAAAAAACAACAGGTCATCTGCGTAAGCAGCAACTTTATGTTGGTGGGACCCCATGAGTATACCCCGAATGTCTGGATTTGCTCGCACGGACCGTAGTAGTGGTTCGAGTGTTATGGTGTAAATGAGGGGGGAAAGTGGGCATCCCTGCCTGGTGCCGTTACTTATGTCAAATGGGTCAGAAAGAACACAGTTGACCCTCACTCTGGCCGTGGGCCTAGAGTATAGGGCGAGTATCCAGGAGAGCATACTCGGGCCAAGCCCAATGTGCTCCAGGGTAAGGCGTAGGAAGGACCAGTCGACCCTGTCGAAGGCCTTCTCTGCGTCGGTCGACAACAGGAAGCTGGGGGAGGACTTCGACCGGGCCGAGTGGATGACACTGAGGGCCCGAATAGTGTTGTCCCTGGCCTCCCTACCAGGAACAAAGCCAGATTGGTCCGAGTGAATCAGTGAGGGAAGGTAGGGCTGGAGTCGTGTGGCAAGGAGCTTAGTGTCGACATTTAAAAGGGAGATAGGGCGATAACTTTGGCACACTGTAGGGTCTTTTTCCGGCTTAGGGATCACCGCAATGTGGGCCGATAAGGAGTCCCTAGGGAGCGAAGGGAGTTCTTTGACCGAATTCCAGGCCGCAAGCATCCTCTCGTTGAGTAGCGCAGGGAATTTCTTATAATAAGCAAGGGTAAAGCCGTCAGGGCCCGGGGCTTTCCCCGTATTGGCCTGTTTGATAGCCAGCTCCAGCTCCTCCATTGAGCTGGGGCCCTCCAGGGAAGACCGTATCTCAGAGGAGAGACAGGGCATACCAACCTCCTATAGGTACGCCCGAATGCGTCGTTGTCATGCGGTTACAGTTGAAGTGGTCTGGGGGGTCGGTAAGTTGTAAAGTCCAGCGTAGTAATCGCGGAATGCGGCGGCTATGTCTTCCGACAGGTGACAGTTGTTTCCAGAGGAGTCCTTGATTACTGGTGCAAAGGTTCGAGCCCGTTGTTGGCGTAAGGCTTGCGCAAGGGAGCGGCTACATTGATTCCCGTATTCGTAGAAATGCCGTCGACATTTGGTAAGAGTGGCTTTGGCTCTATCCATTTCT